TCACTTTCTGAATTCTTCTTTGTTTTCTTTTTTTTTTTTTTTTTTTTTTGAGACGGAGTCTCCCTCTGTCGCCCAGGCTGGAGTGCAGTGGCCAGATCTCAACTCACTGCAAGCTCCGCCTCCCGGGTTTAGGCCATTCTCCTGCCTCAGCCCGAGTAGCTGGGACTACAGGCGCCCGCCACCTCGCCCAGCTAGTTTTTTTGTATTTTTTAGTAGAGATGGGGTTTCACCGTGTTAGCCAGGATGGTCTCGATCTCGTGACCTCGTGATCCGCCCATCTCAGCCTCCCGAAGTGCTGGGATTACAGGCTAGAGCCACCGCGCCAGGCCTCTTCTTTGTTTTCTAAATGCAAACATTGGTTCAGTGCCTGTTATGTACAAAGTCTTGTGCTAGATGCCTGTAGCCATCATTTCATTTCAACCTAACAACAGCCCTACAAAATAAATATTTATATTTTCATTTATACAAGAGAAAACTGAGGCTTAGGAAGGTGAAGTGACTTGCCCTTATGGGCTCTAAAGCCTGTGTCCTTTTCACTGTAATATTCTGCTTTCAATCATTGCTAACATTTACTTAGAGCTAAGCAAATTGTCCATAGTATCTCATCCTCCCAACAAAATTGTTATTCTCATTTTATGGATGCTACAACTAAGAGTTAGTGGCATTGAAGAATTTGCTCACAAACCACGTAGCTGTAATTTATAGAGTTGGGATTTAAATCTGGGATTCCAGAGCCAACACTTCATCTTGACTCTGGAATCAGGAACCCTAGTTCTAGCTTTGCCTTTGTTACTAACTCAAGGTGTTCCTTAAAGGCAAAATCATTTTCTCACTCCAAATATGTTTTCCTAATCCATGCAAAAGGAGGCTTTGTCTGTTCCTTTGGAAGAAGGGCATTTGGGCATGTTGGAAGAATTGTGTTTTCCAACATCATTTTCTATTTATATTTATCGCTTACTTCTGTGACTGTCTAATCAGAAAATGTCTCTCCATTGCCCAGAATAAAATCCAAATACTACATCATGACTTGGAAGAGTCTGCCTGGTCTGATCCCTGCCAAGCTCACTGGTCTCCCACCTATTCTTTGCACTGGTTATTTCAAACAACTAGTGGTTTATGTTCTCTCCAGTCTAAGTTGGGATGGGCAATTTCCTCTGCCTTCTCATCTACCTGAAAATGCTGTTTCATTATTGAAGACCTAGCTCAGGTGTGATATCCTCTTGAGAGACTACTGTGAGTCTCCAAACTGAGGATTGATGTCCATCTTTTATATTCCCAGAACAGCATGCTTAGTGTTCCTCAGCCTAGTGCTCTGCCCCCGAATTAGAGGCTGTTAATATTTCTGTCTGCCTGTCTCTTGTCACTGACTTATAAAGATACCCAAGGCTTAAACTAGTTAATATCAGTCACAGGGCCTGGTACACAAAATACACCTAATGATATATAATAATGATGATGGCCATGAGAGTGATGGTGGTGGTAGTAATGATAATGGTGATGATACTTTCTAGCATGCATCAGGTGCTACTTTGTGCCAAGTAATTTTCTAAGAGTTTGACATGTACTGACTTAACCCTCACTATAACTTTATGAGGTGAGCCATCTGCTGTTCCCTTTGCATAGATGAGCAAACCAAGAAAAGAAGCTTTTTTTTACCAGTATAGAGAAAAATCAAACCAACACCTGTAAGTACAACAATGGGAAACAGTTAACACCTCACTGTGCACTCCACTTGGTTACTTTTTTTTTTTTTTTTTTTGATAGAGTTTTGCTCTTGTTGCCCAGGCTGGAGTGCAATGGTACGATCTCGGCTCACTGCAACCTCCGCCTCTTGGGTTCAAGCAATTCTCCAGCTTCAGCTTCCCGAGTAGCTGGGATTACAGGCATATACCACAAGACCCAGATTTTGTATTTTTAGTAGAGACAGGATTTTACCATGTTGGCCAGGCTGGTATCAAACTCCTGACCTCAGGTGATCCACCCACATCATCCTCCCAAAGTTTTGGGATTACAGGCATGAGCCACCACTCCCAGCCTCCACTTGGTTTAATTCTGTTTTGCCTCCTTCCACTCAGTTCTCCTCAAACAACCAGAAGTATTTTTAAACAATTCAGCTCCAAACCTGTTACTTTGCTTCTTGAAATATTTCGATAAGTCTCCCACTTACTCTCAAGACAATAATCATAGTTAACATTTATTGACAGTTTATTATGTGTTTGTTAATTTTTTATTTTAAAAATAACACTTTGGTAGATACAGTTATTATTTTCATTTTGTGGGTAAGGTAAGAAAACTGTGGGACAAGTGGTAAAGCAGTTCACTCAGTATCGCACAGAGTGAGTGGCTGAGCTGGGATTTGAACCTGAGCAGTCGGTGTTCTGGAGCCTGTGGATGTATCATTACTCCATACAACCACTGTCCTAGCTGCTAGGCTCCAGCAGCCTGACTCTGGCTCCTTCCAGTTTTCCCTGTGTCCCTACTTGTATACTGTATTGCAGCCATAGATTCTCAGAACATCTATGCATCTCTTATCTTTGTACTTTTACCTTTACTTTTTTTTTTTTTTTTTTTTTTTGAGGTGGAGTTTTGCTCTTGTTGCCCAGGCTGGAGTAGAGTGGCACAATCTTTGTTCACTGTAACCTCCGCCTTATGGTTTCAAACAATTCTCCTGCCTCAGCCTCCTGAGTAGCTGGAATTACAGGTGCCCACCACCACGCCCAGCTAATTTTTGTATTTTTAGTAGAGACAGAGTTTCACCATGTTGGCCAGGCTGCTGTCAAACTTCTGACCTTGTGATCCACCCGCCTTGGCCTCCTAAAGTGCTGGGATTACAGGCGTGAGCCACCGTGCCCAGCCGCCTTTTACTCTTCTTTATCTAACTCCTATTCCTTTAGGAGACTGAACACATGTTTCACACATAATAGGAAGTCTTCTTGGACATCCTTGATCCTACTTAAGTACCTTCCTCTGTTTTCACACAGCTCTCGTGACTTCTTTTATAATTGCTTTTGTCACTCGTATTATCATCTCCATTTGTCCATCTTTTCTACCAGAAGTTCTGCCACATAATAAATGCTCAGTAAATCAGCAAGAAATGACTTTATCTCCTTCAACTTCACAACAGTTTCGTTTTTCAAATGAAGAAATAGATTTAGAGATGTTAAGTAAATGTCCCCAGGACACAGAATTATTAAAGAATGAAGCAAGAACTCAAGTGAGAAGGGATGGAAAAGAAACTCCTCAGGCTCCTCTTGGGGGGGCACTTGCCCAAGGGGAAAGAGGACTGTGGCTTGAGTGTGATTATGAAGTGATGAATTCTTGGCACCTCAGAAAATATTCCACCCAAGTGGTGAACTATACAAAGAGGACTTTTTGAAAGGCACCTCATAAATTGTGCCCACAAAATGTACACACATAAGCCCCGTCCTTTTTCAGCTGCTATGCAGGTGCCTAACACAGTCTCCCATTTGTGGGGTCTGTTGTTGTAAAACTCCTTCCCTCCTGTGGTATCAGAGGGGCATGGAGAGGACAGCAAGAGAGAGAACTTCTCATGTAGCCTCCCAGGGTGCCTGGGCATCTTGAAGATGCTGGAACATAGAGAAAAGTGGTTTCCACATGGAGACAAGACAGCTTTGCACTGAAGCTGACTTGTAATGTGACCTGGGATAAAGACATTCTGTTCCTTCTCTAAGCCTCAGTTTCCACATTTTTAATGAAAGTGGGTCAGACTAGGTCAGTGGTTCTCAACTTGGGTGATATTGCCCCCAGAGTATATTTGGCAATGACTAAAGACAGTTTCACTGGGGCAAGGGTGCTATTGAAAATTCTTCAATGTCTAAAGAATTTTGACAATTCACGATTGGGGCAAGGGTACTATTGGTGGTAGGTGGAGCCCTGGGATGCTGCTAAATGTCCTATAGGATTGTTCCCACAACAAAAAAAAATCTAGCCCAGAATGTCGATAGTGCCACCTTTGAAAAACCCTGGACTAGGTGATTGCAACAATCCTTCCTGGCTTTATTTGTCTATGCAGCCATCAGATTTCTCCCAGCAGCACCCTATAGGGCTCTAGATAAGTTCTTAAGGTTATCCTCCATAGTACAGAATGATTCTTGGTAAGGCTAGTCTTTAGCGTAACCTTGATCCTGAGGGCTCATTCCAGCAATCCTTTATAAGAGTAGCTATCATTTATTAGAAGCTTACTCTGAGCTCTATATCAGGCATTAGGCATTTCTCATACTCAACTTGAGAATAAGACCATCATCATTTTTTTAAAGATGGAAAAAAATGAGACACAGAAAAGTTCTGATTTGGGGACATATATATATTTGATGAAAGGGAATCACAAAGGGCAAGATTTCAAAGTTTCCAGACTGGGAGAAAAGAGTGTGAAAGAGTTCATGAAATGAGAACACAGACAGTTAGAAAGGGACTGTGGGTGGTCAGGCCTAGATTTAGATTATTTCCAACTCCAGTGGCCAACTTGATGTTTGCCTTGGTCAAGTAGTGTCACTATTCTGAGCCTTGCTTGAGCTCCTCACCCATTAAAAGGGGGTAGACAATACATTCAGGATAGTTATAAAGGCTAAATAAAAAATTTAAAATATATGTAAAGTGCATACCCAGTGTCTAGCATATGGTGTCAATAACTTTTAGTTGTTCTTGTTGCTTTTTAATCATTATAATAATATCTATTTGATCAGAGTCCAAGGCTGGTCACTTTCAAACTCCTAGGGCTCCCATATCCTAGAAGTAAAAATATTAGGTTAAAGGCTATGACTCTTGTTCATTTTTTTTTTAACACATTGCACAATTGAAGAAGACAGGTTCTGGAGTAATTTTTGAGTGAGTGTTTGAAGTTCCACACTCCGATCCGGAATAGATAGGAAATGGTTGGGAGAAGAATTTCTCATTTGTTTGTTGACATTTACTCACTACCTCAAAGGCCTAACTCTTGATCTGAGCTTCTTTAATCATGGCTGTCTCATCCTACCTTTCAGGAAGGCCCATCTGATTCTACGGCGGCTGGAGAGGGTGAGTAGCCACTGCTCCAGCCTCCTGCGGAGTGCCTACATCCAGAGCCGTGTGGAAACGGTGCCCTATCTTTTCTGCCGCAGCGAGGAGGTCCGGCCTGCAGGCATGGTGTGGTACAGCATCCTCAAGGACACCAAAATCACGTGTGAGGAGAAGATGGTGTCAATGGCCCGGAACACGTACGGGGAGTCCAAGGGCCGGTGAGGGAGGGTATTGCCCTCCGTGAGCACAGAGACTCTCCATGGGAGGGGGAGCAGTATTCTCCTGGATCCTGGGGCCTGGGTGGGCTGGGGGACAGCTGAGGATGGGCCTAGCAGATGAAACTTGCCAGCAAGGCCAAAGCAAATGGTTTCTCCTGTGGATAGTGGACAGAGACCTTTGAATTATTCATTTTTCTCTATCTTTTATTTTTTCAAAGATATTATTTGACTCTATCAAAAGTCTCTCCTTTTTAAACCTTTTCTTATGGATGGCTGTCAATCCTGAGGCAGAAGTTTTCAGGTGGAGACCAAGCGGCCTTTGCTCTTCTTCCTCCTTCCTGCCACACTCTGCTTTCTTCCTGCCATGGACCCCTGGAGGAGACCTATGGAGGGACAGTTTTGACCTGACCCCTAGAGGACACAGTTTTGACCTCTTCAGCACCAGGAAGGAAGCTCTGAGGATGGTTGCAGTGAGGAAGCATGGGTCTTTAAGGACTTCTCTCTCTTTTTTGCTGGACATTATTGAGTTTGTGGGACCCTGCCTCTTCCTGCTACCTGTGAGTCTGCCCAGAGTCCCCTGCAGGCCTGTCCATGCATTAAAAATTCCTATTGTCTCTCTTTCTGCTTGGGTAGTATTTCTTACCAAAGGAATGTTCTTGAGAGACCTCTGTTTATTCACTTATTGAGTATCTACACTGTGCCAGTCACAGAGCATATGCAACTAAAGACAGAGAAGCTTCCTTCCCTCAGGGACCTTATGGCCCAGTGGAAATTATAGAGAAGGAGTCTGATCATTTCAAGCTGTGCTAGAGGAAGAATGGAGGTTCTCTGCATTCACTGTTGGAGCATGAGACACACTGGAGGGCTCCTGAAATGCTTCCTTGAAAAAGTGATACCTAAACCCAAAGGATGAGGAGAAATAAGCCAGACAGAGAGGTGAAAAAGAAGGGATTTGCTTGCCAGGCACGGTGGATCGTGTCTGTAATCCCAGCGCTTTGGGAGGCCAGGGCAGGTCGATCACTTGAGGCCAGGAGTTTGAGACCAGCCTGGCCAATATGGCAAAACCCCATCTCTACTAAAAATACAAAAAATAAAAAATAGCATGGTGGCATGCGCCTATAATCAATCCCAGCTACTTGGAAGGCCGAGGCACGAGACTTGCTTGAACCTGGGAGGTGGAGGTTGCAGTGAACCGACATGGTGCCACTGGACTCCAGCCTAGTTGACAACTTAAAAAAAAAAAAAAAAAAAAAAGATGGGATTTGCTCCAGCAAGAGGGGATATGAACAAAAGCCCAGAGACAAGAGAGAGTACACCTCTTTCAAGGACTGAAAACTTTCCTTAAGAGTAGGGATCAAAGTAACAAGTGTCAAAAGGTGAGGCTGGGAGCTTGGCAAGGTGAGGCTGGGACCTTGGCAAGGCATTGGAAGCTTTGGAAAAGAAGCTTGACACTGTTTTGGAGCATCCATGACTATTTATATAACTAAAATAGTCAACTTGCTCTTTAAGAAAATCATTCTCACTACAGGGTGAAGAATGGATTGGAGAAGGCCCTAAAGAGAGGGGTACCATTGTCATTTTCCATGAAGGAGGTGATGGTAGCTTAGGGGGAGACATTCCAACATTAGAATCTCCCTTTATGTATCTATTTTTGAAACAGCTTTATTGAGGTGTAATTGAAATCTCCTTTTAAATGATAATTGCGCTGCTTCCGGTATACCCTTCCCTGGGAGGGTAATGAGTACAAAGAGGTGTTATAAATTCTTAACACCTTTGTATTAGCTCAAATAGGCTACCTAGCTTGAGCAGATGGGATGTAGGTCAGGTATATCATAATGCAAAGATGACACCTGTGAAGAGAAGAGAGTATAGCACTGTGGGGTTTCACAAGAGGAAAAGATACTGATTATCAATAAAAGATAAGCCATTCCAAATATGCCTATCCTCATTTGTATAGTGGTGAGTAAAAAAGAAAAAACAATGGCTACTTCACTTCTCAATTTGGCGAATGTTGATGAGATTGACAATCCCCTTCCTGATAACCTACATACTGAGGACATTTTTGCCCCCAGGACTCAGATTCATATGGGGAAATAGGTAACACAAAAGCAAACAAGGCAGAAAGGGATTCTTCCAACCTTGGTGCCTGGGAAGCTTCTCAACCTCTCACAGTCTAAGCTCTAAGGCACTTTTTCAGGAAGTTTACTATTATTGGGTTTATGTTTCTCTAAGTATACAGGTGGAGCTTCTAAATGCCTCTTGTATATACCACTTCCTGGGTATACATGGGCCTTCAGAGAGCTATCAGTTTGCTGGGCCTGGGTCCCAGGTTTTCGGAGAGCTATCCAGTTGCTGTAGCTTTCCATTGTCTTGACCCAACCTGAAGAACAATTTAGCTCAACGGTTGCAGAAAATTACAACACTCAGTGTGCTGGTGTGGTGGTCTGAGCCTGATTTAGCTTGAGTCTGACAACACTGCTGTTCACCAGCTATTGCCCTTAAGGGAGGAACTTGACCTCAGGTTTCTTATCAACAAAGTGGAGTCAATGCTGGTCCCACCTCAAGGGGTTGTTTCCCAGCTTGAATGATAAAGGAGTTAATATGCATCCAATGCAGTATATAGTGTTTTTGTTTATTTTTTTCTTTTTTCTCCTGACAGAGACAATATGCATAATACTATGAATCTTGGGCAGATATCTAGGAAAATCTGGGTGGGAAAGGCCTAGATAATTCTGATTAAAAGAAAGAATTAATGATTAACAGCTCTGTCAGCTATGTGAATTGTAACTAGTGTCAAAAACCTAACTCAAAGAGAAGTGGTCACCATGGTGGAATTTAATGCAATAACAAGACCCCCAAAGAGAAGTGTGTGGTTAAAAAAAAGAAACATTCTTGACGCGTAAATGAAGCTGGGAGGTATGGTGCCCTGGCATCTGCATGACCAGATTGATCCATACGCTGCCATGGAACTTGCCAGGGAAGCTCATGTCACAATATGCTGGCAAGGATGAGACTTCTTGTGTAGTCTTCACCGCCATATAAAGAAGTTGTGAACACACAAAGGTGTGTGTTAGGGGTGCATAGGAAATCACCCCTAAATGACCTCATCCTTCTGGATGGTAAAGAAATATCTTCTCTCAGCAGACTTTGTGATAAAGTGTGCCCTACAGACAAATGCTGGTAACTACCATTTAAGGAATCCTCATCATACGGATGGCTCTACATACTTATCTCATTTAACCATGGGCAAAACAGTCATGTGCTGTTGTGGTGATCATTTTACAATTCAAGAAACTCAGGTTTAGGCAGACTGAATAACCTGCCCCAAATCCTGTAGATAGTAAGTGATGGTATTGAGATACTGAGATCTAAACTTGAGCAGACTAAGTAATTCCAAATGATGGGCACTATGTAAGCACGCTACCTGCTAGGGCTACTAAGTGCAGTACCTCCCTTCTCCATCTTAAGTCAAAAACTAAGTCTAACTTCCAACCAATACCTGAGTACTGATTTCCAGGTTTGGGGTACTAACATGAACAGGATCTAGCTCCTGCCCTTAAGGAACTCCCAGAATTTAGCTAACTAAATACAGTGTGATAAAATCAGACACTCTGGAGTCAAGCCAATCTGGGTTTAAATATTGGCTGTGCAATTTACAGTGAGGCAGGGCTAACCCTTAAGAGAAATTTAGGAGGCAAACTCAACAAATATTGCTAACTAATAAGCTCAGGTTAGCTGGCATTTACTTAACCTCTCTAAGCCTTACTTTTCTCATCTGTGAAAGGGATAAATATACTACTTCAAAGACTGTTGGGAAGATTAAATTAGATGATGTATATAAAGCCATTGGGTACTTGAAAACAAAAGTTCTTAATAAATAGTTATTATAGTGACTTTTTTTTAAGAGACAGGATCCCACTCTGTCACCCTAGCTAGAGTGCAGTGCAGTGGTACTAACACAGTTCGTTGCAGCCTCAACCTCCCAGACTCAAGCAATCCTCCCACCTTAGTCCCCCAAGTAGCTGAGACTACAGACGCACACCACCACACCCAGCTAATTTTTGTAATTTTTTTGTATTGTAATTTTTCTTTATCCTGCTCAACCTTGTCTCGAACTCCTGAACTCAGGCAATTCTCCCAACTCGGCCTCCCAAAGTGCTGGGATTATAGGCATGAGCCACTGTGCCAGTCCTAAAATGACTTCTTTACATGAGAAAGGGTGGGTGCAATGGACTCTGCCATTGGAAGGCAAGTCATCATCAGGAAAACCTTCATAGTCAAGGGTTTATAAGAGTTCAGTAAGTAGAGTAGGAGAAAAAGGGCATGAGGGACAGAGAGACAAGCATATTGATGAAAAAGTGTGCCATATTTGAGGGATGGTGAACAAGTGGTGTGGTCAGAGAGATGGGGGATGTGTTTGGAGAAGCTGTCAGAGCCAGACCGCATTGACCATTGGAAGGCACTGGACTGAAAGTAGAGGTGTGACATGGGCATATAAGCATTTTCAAAAGCCCCTTCGGGGTGCAAAGTAGGACAGTGGGGAGGAGAGAGTGAGCGGCAAGGAGACTAGATAGGAGACTATAGGTATTGTTTAGGAGGAAGATGAGGAAGCTTGAGCTAGGGCCATTGCAGTGATGAGGCTGGATCTGAGAGGTGTCAAGGAAGTTGACTCAGTAGGATTCGCTAACCAAAGCCTGATGACTTGGGTTTTATCTTTCCCCACTGCTGACTGAGTGTTACACTGGGCAGAACTAGCTGGGGCATGAAGTGAATGATGAATCACATGGGTTCAACGGACAGTGTGCATGGATGAGGCATGATTTACATCATGCAGAAACAGTCATTGGGACATCAGAGAGCTGAGAATATAATTTAGCTTTATGTGAAAACCATTCATGGCCCTGAGTGTAATTATGCACAAATGTGCTATGACTTTCAAATGCAGGTGTGGGAACCATAGCAAAGGGCTTACGTAAGTAGTGTAGAATTTTGTGGAAGTGTAAAATACTGGACTTATAGAAATAGTGCTGAGTTCTCTCCTTCTCCTCCTTTCCCTCCTCTTCCTCCTCATCTTCACTATCCTCATCCTCATCACCATCATCATTTAATTCATTGCTTACCATAAGACATTCTTTACATAAATATCATTTCATATACTTCTAACAACTCCGTGATGTATAAATTATCATTTTTTTCAAAGATATGAGAAATGAATCTGAAGGAATTTAAGAAACTTTCTGGTCTCAGGCTGCTAGTATGTGGCAGAACCAGATTTCAATCCAGATCTCACTGGACTCCAGAATTTTAACTACTATACTCTGTTGTCTCCTCAGGTAGAGACCTCTGGTCTAGTCTTGCTCCTGAAGTAGAGCTGCTATGTGACCTTGAGCAAGCCGTTCACCTCTGTGGGCCCTGGGTTCTCCATGTACCCCCACTACACTAGGGGAGATCTATGTGTCACGGATGTGAAAGATTATATCAGATGATGACTCAGGTACAAAGAGCACTTTTAATCTCTCTTTTATCTTCGCTACCTCCCTTTGAGATTGACAACAGCAGGATGACTGTCTCTGGCCAGTCTAGAGAAGGTCACAGTCTCAACCAGGTTGCCGCAGAGCAA